TTTTCCTTAGTTTAAAGTACATTGATATTCTGCTAAATATTAATTAATAGATCTAAGATATTCTACATATAAATATGTTTCTCTGAATATAATTAATAATCATTTAATTCAAATTTCTTAGGTATTTTAATTTAATCTTGGTTAATTAAATAAAAAGGTTATGAAAAGATTTTCGCTAATTTCGAAATCTTAAAAAGTGTTCTCTTTTAATATTATTCACAAATAATATGTTGGATGAAATATGTCAGAATTGAAAATTTAGTCCGTTGACAGAAATAGTCCGGTGTTTCAGATTCACACTTTAAGCCCTTCCACCATCCTCAAATGATATATTATTTTGATGGTCATAGAAGAAAACCTTGATGGTCAAAAGTAGTTTAGGTTTAATTTTTAATGGAGGGAGAGATTATTAAGTATTTTAAAACATTGCTTTTATAATTGTAATGTTCTAAAAATTACAATTTAAGTATTTTAATACACACACACACACACACACACACACACACACACACACACACACACATATATATATATGTATATATATATACATATAATACTTAATTGCATTAGCCAATCACGATAAAAAGTGAATGCCTCTGAATATATTTTGAATAACGTAATTTTTAGATTTTATTAAAGTCTCAAGAATTATTATTATTATTATTATTATTATTATTATTATTATTAGCATTCGTTTAGATTTCACGGCATAGATATTTGGTGAATCTCGTTAGAGATCAAGTCACATCAACTCGCTTCAATAGTCCAGTACCTTACTCGGTATTTTTAATGATTTAGTAGTTCTATTGTCTGAATGAATTTAAATGCTCTTCCGATTTCTAAGTATTTCAATATTTTTTGTGTGCCACTTTGTGAATTGTTCGCTCTGCTCCTGTAATGATTGGCACAGTTGTCACTTTTATGCTCTTTTCATTTGTCTTGCATGATTTATATATTCCTCATACTTTCCATCCTCTTTCAATTTAATTTTGTCGTATGACGGAAACTGATAAAATATTAATTCATAAAACTGAATTTCAGAACTTGTCAAAAATAATACTTTAAGTGTTCGTATTTTGTAAGATATTAAAATTTCTGTATTTACATTAGTCGGACTATTGTCCTCATCTTTGTCGCCATATTTGTCACAACGTTTCGGCCGTTGTACGCTCCGGCCTTCTTCAGGTGGTTGGAATTTCGAACTGAACCCTTTATTTCGATCGCTGGGGTAGACTGTTCTAATTCCACGTGCCATGTTTGATGGATGTCAGTTATCAGTTATCTCCTGCTAATTTTCCCTCTGAAAGTTCTCCACTGCCTTAACCAGGAATTGAACTCACCTTCTTTTGGGTCTGTCACTGGATCTAACCAACGCCTTTATCCACTGTGCCATGTGTCCTTGAGGACACATGGCACAGAAATATAGACAAACTCATTAAAATTTCTACTTGAATATATTTACCATATAAATTCTATTTTGTTAAAATTCCATTCTTTATTATACTGTTCAGTAAACTATTCCTTCAAGCAAAATTGAAAAGCTAAGTGCTAAATGGAGTAACTTGCGCAAATTTTCAATTTCACATTTTTTGTATTTTCTACATACAAATAAGTAATAACAAGAACATTTCCCAATTATTTTTATATCATGGTTTTTGAATAAATTGTGTACAAGTGATTATTAAAACGAGTAGAAATCAAATACATCGTCTATCAATAATTCGCTCTGAAAAGACAAATAATATAAAATAAAAAATGACACAATATTACACTAGAAAAATTATATGATTTTCTTTATGTAAAAAATATAATTTTCGATAAATCCAAATACTGAGATAATATAAGTTGACTTAATAATATTTTTATAGAATTTCGTGAATACTGATGCAGGAAAATTTCACTGATTTTGCAGATAGATAAGAAAAATAATGTGCACACAATTCAAAATGAATTCGAATATTTAATTCAGACATATAACCAGAGAATTAAGTTGATCATTGAAAAGCTCTATCTTTCTCCCAATTAAAGGTTAAAATAGCCATACAAGAAAAATTCCGTTTCATACAAAGCAATACTCTTTATTTCAATGACCTTTACTAATCGCCAAGAAAAACAAAACTAATCAAAACCAAACAAAATTATTTTTATTCTTTGTCAACATATTTAACCTCTAAATAAAAGGCAAATGTTTTTGTAATAACCAATAGCGATAAAAATACCTTCCAAATTCTTTACCTTCCAATGTGCAAACTTCAACCATAACTGAAAATTCATAAAAATAATCCATTATATTAAACAAACGTAACAAATAATTCGCAAGAAACAATGTTGACTTACTTATATAATGCTCTTCCAAGCTTAATTTGTTTTGAATTTGCCATCATCGAACAATCCTTGTGTGTTCGGAGTGAAGCTCGGCGCTGGTTTATCATTGCCCGATGTAACAGATCGACCACATCACGGACCACATGCTCTTGGTTAATGGTGACACTGAGGGAAAAGGACAAAGCACCCATAGGAAATGAAAGACGTGGTTCGACAGCTCTCACGTAATCATGTTCTGTTAGAAGCCAAGCATAGTCACGGTCCTCAAAACCGACTGCATAAACCTGCCAAAAGACATTTCTTAATCTGAGCGCAGAAACTAATAAAAAATGACAATAAAAACTGTTTTCTTTAATGTAAACAGCGAAGATTAAGAACAATAAAATCGAATTGGTGAGTCATTCTAAAACAAAGAGATATAAGGCATATTTATGTGGACACACACTTACACCAGCACACAGCTCACATAGGCATATTTATGTTCGCGTAGACACACACACACTTACACCAGCCCACATAGGCATATAGATATAGTAAATACATACATTGTTCGAAAAAGGTTACCTCAATGTTATATTTGGGAATAGTATAAACATAATTTCATCATTGATTTAAACGAAAGCATTGGGAAATATTTAACAATTTAATAAACTTTGCCTTATCTTGGACAAGGCTGTAAGTGTGATGTACCTGGTGAGGACTAAACTAATTAAAAGAATCGTTAAGAGATGTTTGCTAACTATTGTATCGGTAGTAAGTGTCCACGTTGGAAATTATACGTCATTTTTTATTGTGGTTGTTTTTAAAGAACTTGAAACGAGAATAGTGTTATATGAAAAGGGCCATATTTAATTTGCTCGAGATACGAGGTAGTATATGACAGTGTAACTGATTGGGTTTTGAATAAAAGTCACCATAGTGACACTGACATGTATCATCCTTCCATGGTGAAAGACTATTCATATATTTTTTGTTTAATGACGCCAAAATTGAAAAAATACTTCAATTTGCCATAATAATCAATAAATTTAGCATCTCACTTCACGTAAAACGACACGATAACCTGAAAAATAAGCTTCATCATAATATTCATTGTTGCATAGTGAATAAAATAACCTAATAAAGGACAATGTTAAATTTGAGGAAAACCCAAGACGCTTTTGGACACTGAAAACTCCAAGAGTAGACATGAAAACCCAGATAGACTACACATGACTATCAACATACGAATTGGAAATGCTAAAGCATGCCTAAAACACGTTAAGCGCTGACTGGGAGCGATCAGTTCCCTTCAATATGAAAACCATGCATAAGATTACAAAAATCAAAGAAACGTAAAACAATGCCTAAACTACAAAGTCCATAGCGACTCATTTTGCAAACAAATATATTCAGTCGTAGTGTCGTAGACATTACGATATAAAACTTTGGAAAAGGTCAGAAACTCGAAGAGACACTTTAAAGGAAACACTAGTGACAATGGATGACAAGCAAAAAAAGAGACAAGAAAAAAGGGATTACAGGTGAAATACTCAATAATGCAAAACACCAAGAAATTGCGCGGAATATTCTATGTTAAACAACATCATTAGAAATAAGTTAAAATAAGCAAAATAGGAATGATTCAGCGAGAAGTGTGCAGCCAATGCAAAAGTGTAGAACATAGACATAGTAGGAGTGTATAAAAAGAAATATATAAGCAAGATTCATAAAATCTAAAATGGGTACAATCATATGGAGAAAAGAAAAGGTACTACAAAAATGAATTAAAGATGTCGAATTTAAAGAGCTCTTCAATATATATTGAAGAGCTCTTTCATGACAAAGGAAAAAAAACAGTAATGTATAAGAACATAAAATGGCTCGTTGTATTAAAATCTGAAATAAGAGAGGCACGTAACAAATTGAAGAGAAACAAAGGAGTAACCAGATGAGAATGTAATAGAGATACTGTCAGCGCTCGGCGATTTCGGGATCGATGAGGTTACTAAGATAGTACACAAAATAACAGCAGGGAAATACTGGATGAGGCTTCATAGCAATGCCAAAGTAGTCCGGTGTAAATGAATGCGAACTTCATTGTATAATCGGTTCATTGGGGTACATAACTAAACCTGTCATAAGGATTCTAATGAATAGAGCTTTTATTAGAATTAAACTAGAAACAGTGCAAGAAAAGTGATTTTGTTCAATATTCTGGAACAAGAAAAGCGGTTTTTATGGTCAGAATAAATTATGCAAGCAATACAAATGCCGGTGTTTCATATATTGGCCAAATGTATTTGATGGGGTGCAATACTAACAGCTCCTTAAAATATTAGAAAAGTTTTATCTACACAGGAAAGATATTCGAGTTATCAATAACATATACTGCAAGCAACTATCTTGTAGGCGGATGTAGAACGAGTTTCGAGAATACGCAAAAAGAGACATACCACGACAAGAATGCGTTTTCTAACCAGATTTATTTAACCCATACAGCGGGACGATCCTATGAGAACTAGAAGACCTATCTATATTGACGAACATAAGTATAAAACAATTAACCTACGAAGATGAGACTATGTTGATGGCAGATTCAGAAAATAAAATCTATTTAGAGGAGATCGTTAAGGAAACAAGAATAAAGGATTAACGATTAAGTGTGTAAAAAAAAGTCGTAATGCCTGGTTTTGTTAGCCAAAGAGAGAGAGAGAGAAAGAGAGAATGAGAGAGAGAGAGTGTATGAGAAAAAGAGAGAGAGAGAGAGTGTGTGAGAAAAAGAGAGAGAGAGAGAGTGTGTGAGAAAAAGAGAGAGTGAGAGAGAGAGTGTGAGAAAAAGAGAGAGAGAGAGTGTGAGGAAAAGAGAGAGTGAGAGAGAGAGTGTGTGAGAAAGAGAGAGAGAGTGTGTGAGAAAGAGAGAGAGAGAGAGAGAGAGAGAGAGAGAGAGAGAGAGAGAGAGAGAGGTGTGACTTATGTATTGGGGACGCCAGAACTAATTAGGTGTGAAAATTTAACTATCTAGGAAATGTAATAACAGACAACGAAAAGTGTAGCAGGGAAATCCGAAGGCGCATGAGAATAACGGAAGAGGCCTTTCAGAAACTCAGCAAAATATTAAGAGGTCAGAAATATCGTTAGGAACAAAGAACTGAGTGCTGAACTGCTATATAAGATCTTATACGACAGTAAATATCCTCACAGATAAAGAAGAGAATTGGAGCAACAGCGATATATTTCAGACGAATATTGAGAATAACCATTGACTGAACATATGAGGACTGAGGAAGTTTTAAAGTAAAAGGGAGATGGTAAAGTGGCAATAGTTACTTAGGATATCAAAAGACTGGAAGATGTGAAGGGCCATGATTGTCAACGCCCTGAAAGGTTATGACATATGGAAGAAGGAAAAGAAAAAGTAATTTACTTGCCTGTTTAAAAAGTCTTCGAACCAAAACATTGCTGCAGTGGACAATATTGATTCGTGCTTTATTATCACGCAAAGTGCTGAGTTTGTCAGCAATATCCTGATTTGTGTCAGTGTTTCCTGATAAGAAAAGTGTGTCTTCTAATGTCCACTTGTGAGCATGGATTAATTTGGTCAGTTCATCAAGAAATCCATCTTCTATCAACTCATTTTGAGTGATTATTGTGAAAGTATGTGCTGAGTCATAATTTTCCAGAAAGGCAATCACACCTTTTGCCAGTTGCGCATTACTTGGTCTCAAGTTTAGATACATCTCATTGTGTGGCTGTAAGGAGAAATAAATATAGAGATTTGTACTAAAAAAACATGGTAGAAAATTATCAATGGTATGTTCAAGGCTTTATAGAATTGCATATGCAAAAAATGAAATAATAAAAGTATTAATAAAGCATACTCTGATTTTCTTTGAAAGGGAGTTTTATAAGTTTGCTTTTTCCTTTATGAAAACTAAAATCATTGCATTATTATTTTAATCGTGTAATTTGAATGTTTATACAGAGAAATAAGTCGCTTGTATATCGCCTAGTGTGTGTCATCCTCATAAATTACAAACGTGTTAATGCCTACATTAAAACTTAACTTTTAAAAATAATCAAGAAGTATAATTATAACTTAATCTCCCTCAAGCATGAAGGTGTTGGATTTTAGTAATGGCTAATAGAACCGAAAGCGTTATATCAAAGTCTTTTAAGCATTTCTTACATACGCTACCCACTGAACTTCGTTCATTTGTACGAAAATAGAAAATGTTAAATGCTTTAAATATCACTAAAAAAACACACAGACCCTAATATTACTGTAGATAATAATAATATTACTGTAATATAATAATAATATTACTGTAGATAATAATAATATTACTGTAGATAATAATAATATTACTGTAATAATAATAATAAAAACACATGAAAGTTTGAATGTAGAAAGAATCTTATCTTGTTTTGTTTTCAATTTGATACAAATTAAAAAATTTTCGAACGATCAGAACGCAATATTGCAAATTGTGGCAGACTCTGACGAAGACTTTCACGTGCAAAATACTGATATCTTTCCGCTAGTTCTCGTACTGTTTTTGGTACCCGATCAATGTTTAGAGCGACCCGGAAGAATATTCTACCTATCATATTAGTTTGGTATTTTACCAATTTAGATGTCAGTGCGAGAGTGACTATGTAGGTAGAACAGTTCAAAGGTTGGCGGCACAGGTGAACTCACAACAATATTCGTAAGGACCAGGGGGGCAATTTGCATAGGTGCGTAAATTCAACCGGTTCAGTGATAGCTACGCATTAGCACTAATGTTCTTGAGTTTCACTTGAAAGTGTTGAAATCATTAAGCCTTACCGGCTATCTCTCTGTAAGTTGAAGGAGTGGTTGGTGGGTTTAAAGGTAATTAGCATGTAAGTATTATATTTTCGTTTAATTAACAATTGTTATGCATTTATTTATTATAAATCGCTGTGGATATTTTTGTCATCGATCTCCGCTCAATTTACAGTAATATAAGTTTTTGTTACCCTCATTTTTTTTATAAATTTTTGTTATAAATCATCTCCTATGTCCATTTTATCGCACTAATAATTTAACTAAAATATTACTTGAAGATATAAGTTTCATCGCATCGTTCTATCTCCCTTCTTCAAATAAATATGTCCAATTTAAAGTTTCCTTGGATTGGATAAAAAAAGTAGATTTGACAAATTCCCATAAGAAAAATGGGAGTTTTGCATTATGAATGGTTGATCATGAGATTGGTACATTATCAAAAATGTTTAAAAACAGAACATAGTTTTACTTTAAATAGTGTCCAATCCAAAAGATTGTATTATTACTATTTAAACTATTTTGTACGGGATGCATCCATGTATTTGATAAAATGCTAAAAGGCAATTATTATTCGACGGTTTAGAGTTTAGTGCTGGATTGTTAACATGGATACTCTGATGTGTTTTATGTTCTAGAAATTAAAGAAGTTAGCCCCATTTCCTGGGTATGCGGATGATACATCCTGATAATCATGTCGACTTGCAATAAGTAGCCTAATTCTGTTGTTCTTGTTTAAAATAAACCCTTATACTTTGTAAGTTGCTTTTCTAGTTATTATTTCAATAACAATCCCGGACATTACAAAACATTCTTAGACATCCTAATTGCTAAAAATTACAATTTATTTAAAACTAGTACTTTTTCGGAAAATAACTAATAGTGAACTATTTACAAATTTCACAAGTTCCTGAAATTTTACAAATTCCTGAAAATTCAGAAAACAGGTTGAGTTCTTCTGCTGAAAATTAATTAACGGGCAAATAAAGAAATTTTAATCTGTAAATGATAAAAGTAATCAAAAGAAAAAATGATAACCAGATGCAAAACTTTCATACTTTGGGAACGATTCAAAAACTGTTCAATTTAACATTAATGGTTTGGTCAACAAAAATATTGAGAGGATGTTGTTTTTGTCTAAATTTCTGGAATGAGAAATTTTCATTATTTACATTATGTATATTCGGAATATTGTCCTTATCTTTGTTGTTACTATAACAACATATCCCACAGCCTCCATCAGGTGTTCTACGGGACAATATTATAATGGATTAAAGCATTGATTTGTGAATTTGGTGACATTGTAATTGTAACTGGGCCGGACAGTTTATATTTGAACCCATTGGAAATGAGTAAGCAATAACTGAGCAATACTAAAATTAAGAACTAGACGAGATATCCCGATAAATGAGCAGTGAAATGAGAAGAGTCTACCTCTGTAGATTAAATAAAGGGCTCAGTTCAGAATTCCTTGTAGGTTAACCTGATCGATGTATGTGACACCAGAAGGAGCTGGAAGGGTTAAGAGACAGCCCAATAAATATAGCAAGAGGCGAGGCAAAATTTTATTAAATTCAGATTTTTTTCTTCCTTAGATAAAGGCAGGGGGAGGGAGATAAACATCTGATTTATCCTACAAAAACCATATGGCTGAAGTTGACAACTGACTATGAAGCAGACCTACTAAATGCTTAGTTGTTAACACGCCGGTCGAAGAATAATGATATGAGATCCTTACGTCGTAAGCTGTTCCAGAAGCATTGTCCACACTTAGTCACGACGAACGAAGTGTCACGAAATATTGGAAGAGGAAAGGGTCGATAACTTTGCATGACGAATATATAACGCATGAAGAATATATATTCCTACCTGAAGAACTGATAATTGTTCTACCAGATCTGTACAAGAAACGTTATATAAAACATTTTCTTTTATGCAATTTATTTTTTTTTTTTACTTGTGACTTCACTCTGTGCAGATCAAACCAATTCAACAATTCCTGTCGACAATTTGATCCTCGGCAGCCTTGTGATCTAAATCAAACATATCGTGGGACAAGGCAAGTCTTGGCTTGAAGTGATTCATTCAACAGTCAACCGCGAGAATCGAATATCGAACAGACCGACGGGGTGTTATGTCATATGTACATCTGATGAAAGCAGGATGGCACAACGGCCGAAACGTTGTGATAACAACAAAGATGGGGAAAATAGCCTGAATATAAATAGCATAGATGGGGTTGTTTTCACAAATCAAGAATTTTTTTATATTTTCAAATAAAGATGAAATATCGATTGATTTAATAGCACACGTCGTATATAAATTTGAACACACTGACTGTAAAGTTAGTTCTATTTGATGTGACACCTCATTTTCCACGAAGGTGAAAGGGTTCATCTGGTGGATAAAAAAATGACCTCAATTTTGAAACACTTGTTAAATAACGATCAGCATGAACAAAAATGTAATTTTGATTTCTTATCTATCATTGACAAGGTAGACAAATAGCCTTATTTAAATAAACAAATAAAATTATATATAACAGTCGGAATATTTAACAAATAATTTTATAGAATTATAACAACCGCATGTTATTTCCCCACATTTTTCTTCTCTTTCTAAGAATTTTGAATTGTCTGTTCCAAGTTTGTATTGTACTTTTTTATTTTCCCATAAAAATTATATATATATTTAATTTTTATGTGAAAATAAAAAAGTACAGTGCTCTATAATGCTATCTTTTTTATTTTCCCATAAAAATTATATATATATATATATATATGTGTGTGTGTGTGTGTGTGTGTGTGTGTGTGTGTGTGTGTGTGTGTGTGTGTGTAACGAATGCAATTTTCGACGGATTTGCTCCAAAATTTACATACACATGCTCCAAGTTAGCGTCACATGTGGGAAAAATTTTAATCTGCATGGCACTTTACTCCAATTGTCCCATTCGCTTGTTTAAACTCAACGTTGATTCTGATTCCGCAGAACTGGGATGGGTGTGAAAAAGTATTTGTTGTTAACATTCTTTTTTCATTCGGTTTTTCTAGTTACGAGTCCTTTTTAAAAGCTGATCGTTTTGTGTTCATTTTGTTTAGTTCTTTTTTCGTAACAGATTTAATGTTTAGTATAGAGCTTAGAAAAAATTCGAAATGTGAGATAGGCAAGAAGTAAGGCATGTAGCAACATCAGCACGGCAAAGGGCACTCCTTTAAAGGCAAGGAAGGGCAAAAATATTTTAAGTCAAGTGATAGCGATTGATGATTTTTGAATCAAGCACGGGCAACGCCGGGCCATGCTGCTAGTATATATATATATATATATATATATATATATATATATATATATGTGTGTGTGTGTGTGTGTGTGTGCGCGCGCGTTTAAGATAAAATTGTATAGGTGCATCAGTTTTATAGTATGAAAATGAAAATCAACTTGACATTTTTGCTTTTTCATTATGCCTGTTTCGGGAAGTCATGCATGCGTGTAAAATTTCGTATATCACTGTTGCAGTGTATCAAAAAGCGAGTGCAAGAGAAAACACGAGGAAGATGAAAGGATTGAATGCAATAAAATAAAATGTATTAGTAATCTATCTAGTGAATTTCTGTAATGTAACGATCTGTTGTGATGTTTGAATGCATGAGTAAGAAAAATACTTTCCTTTTTTTTTTTTATTATTTCACAATAACGTCACTAAGACGCGAGGGTCTACTGAGAGTGAAAGAAAATGAGAAAACTTTAGTGAGAAGAAAGGACAATAAAAAATACGTTTCAAAAGACAGAAGTTGCGATTGATACTGCGTTTAATTAAGATCGTAGTTGACAGGAAAGCAAGAAACCGGAAGAGAGTCTCACAAGCGAGAAGTGCGAGAAAACAGACTATTAGAATAGTATGTACGGTTACATCTAGCTATTTTAACAGCGGGT